TTTATTTACATGATTGATCTTCCTGTTTAATATTACCTTACAGTATTGTGACTGTTTTATTGCGTTATATTGATAATACCGTCTATTAATGAGTTATATTCCATTAAAGATGTTAATATTTACTGTGTTAAATTGATAATACAGGTAGTTAATAAGTTATATTCCATTGTAGATGTTAATACTTACTGTGTTATATTGATAATACAGGTAGTTAATAAGTTATATTCCATTGTAGATGTTAATACTTACTGTGTTATATTGATAATACAGGTAGTTAATAAGCTATATTCCATTGTAGATGTTAATATTTACTGTGTTATATTGATAATACCGTCTATTAATAAGTTATATTCCATTGAAGATGTTAATATTTACTGTGTTATATTGATAATACAGGTAGTTAATAAGTTATATTCCATTGAAGATGTTAATACTTACTGTGTTATATTGATAATACAGGTAGTTAATAAGTTATATTCCATTGTAGATGTTAATATTTACTGTGTTATATTGATAATACCGTCTATTAATAAGTTATATTCCATTGAAGATGTTAATATTTACTGTGTTATATTGATAATACAGGTAGTTAATAAGTTATATTCCATTAAAGATGTTAATATTTACTGTGTTATATTGATAGTACCATCTATTAATGAGTTATATTCCATTGAAGATGTTAATACTTACTGTGTTATATTGATAATACAGGTAGTTAATAAGTTATATTCCATTGAAGATGTTAATACTTACTGTGTTATATTGATAATACAGGTAGTTAATAAGTTATATTCCATTGTAGATGTTAATACTTACTGTGTTATATTGATAATACGGTCTATTAATAAGTTATATTCCATTGAAGATGTTAATACTTACTGTGTTATATTGATAATACAGGTAGTTAATAAGTTATATTCCATTGTAGATGTTAATACTTACTGTGTTATATTGATAATACGGTCTATTAATGAGTTATATTCCATTGAAGATGTTAATATTTACTGTGTTATATTGATAATACGGTCTATTAATAAGTTATATTCCATTGTAGATGTTAATACTTACTGTGTTATATTGATAATACCGTCTATTAATGAGTTATATTCCATTAAAGATGTTAATACTTACTGTGTTATATTGATAATACCATCTATTAATGAGTTATATTCCATTGAAGATGTTAATATTTACTGTGTTAAATTGATAATACAGGTAGTTAATAAGTTATATTCCATTGTAGATGTTAATACTTACTGTGTTATATTGATAATACCGTCTATTAATGAGTTATATTCCATAGAAGATGTTAATACTTACTGTGTTATATTGATAATACAGGTAGTTAATAAGTTATATTCCATTGAAGATGTTAATACTTACTGTGTTATATTGATAATACAGGTAGTTAATAAGTTATATTCCATTAAAGATGTTAATACTTACTGTGTTATATTGATAATACCGTCTATTAATGAGTTATATTCCATTGAAGATGTTAATACTTACTGTGTTATATTGATAATACCGTCTATTAATGAGTTATATTCCATTAAAGATGTTAATACTTACTGTGTTATATTGATAATACAGGTAGTTAATAAGTTATATTCCATTAAAGATGTTAATATTTACTGTGTTATATTGATAATACAGGTAGTTAATGAGTTATATTCCATTAAAGATGTTAATATTTACTGTGTTATATTGATAATACAGGTAGTTAATAAGTTATATTCCATTAAAGATGTTAATACTTACTGTGTTATATTGATAATACCGTCTATTAGTAAGTTATATTCCATTGAAGATGTTAATATTTACTGTGTTATATTGATAATACCGTCTATTAATGAGTTATATTCCATTAAAGATGTTAATATTTACTGTGTTATATTGATAATACCGTCTATTAGTAAGTTATATTCCATTGAAGATGTTAATATTTACTGTGTTATATTGATAATACCGTCTATTAATGAGTTATATTCCATTGAAGATGTTAATACTTACTGTGTTATATTGATAATACCGTCTATTAATAAGTTATATTCCATTGAAGATGTTAATATTTACTGTGTTATATTGATAATACCATCTATTAATGAGTTATATTCCATTGAAGATGTTAATATTTACTGTGTTATATTGATAATACCGTCTATTAATGAGTTATATTCCATTGAAGATGTTAATACTTACTGTGTTATATTGATAATACCGTCTATTAATAAGTTATATTCGATTAAAGATGTTAATACCGTACTGTGTTATATTGATAATACCGTCTATTAATGAGTTATATTCCATTGAAGATGTTAATATTTACTGTGTTATATTGATAATACCGTCTATTAATGAGTTATATTCCATTAAAGATGTTAATACTTACTGTGTTATATTGATAATACCGTCTATTAATAAGTTATATTCCATTGAAGATGTTAATACTTACTGTGTTAAATTGATAATACAGGTAGTTAATAAGTTATATTCCATTGAAGATGTTAATACTTACTGTGTTATATTGATAATACCGTCTATTAATGAGTTATATTCCATTGTAGATGTTAATACTTACTGTGTTATATTGATAATACGGTCTATTAATGAGTTATATTCCATTAAAGATGTTAATACTTACTGTTTTATATTGATAATACCGTCTATTAATGAGTTATATTCCATTAAAGATGTTAATACTTACTGTGTTATATTGATAATACCGTCTATTAATGAGTTATATTCCATTAAAGATGTTAATACTTACTGTGTTATATTGATAATACCGTCTATTAATAAGTTATATTCCATTGTAGATGTTAATACTTACTGTGTTATATTGATAATACAGGTAGTTAATAAGTTATATTCCATTGAAGATGTTAATATTTACTGTGTTATATTGATAATACCGTCTATTAATGAGTTATATTCCATTAAAGATGTTAATACTTACTGTGTTATATTGATAATACAGGTAGTTAATAAGTTATATTCCATTGAAGATGTTAATATTTACTGTGTTATATTGATAATACGGTCTATTAATGAGTTATATTCCATTGTAGATGTTAATATTTACTGAGTTATATTGATAATACAGGTAGTTAATAAGTTATATTCCATTGAAGATGTTAATACTTACTGTNGTATATCAATAATACCGGTAGTTAATGAGTTATATTCC